CAAGAGCGTTCTCCCTTCTTGATGGTGTTGTTATGAAAGAAACTGATAGATGCTTTAGTCGTACGTATTTTTGTATATGTTGTAACGGCTGTGCTATTGTTGCACATCTGATGTACTCTGTTCGTTGACGACTTTGGCCAAATTTCACTGCATTCAACTTCAATCGTGTAAAGGCTATGTGCGTGCATGGAAGCGGAGATTGGAAAGTTTTACCTTTGTTTTCGCATATATTTATTTTGGGGAATGCAGAGCTATGCACGAATATCCACTTTGGTGCCCGGGTTCAGATAAGCCCAGTGAACAGTACAATGATTAAAATAGAGAAAATAAATAAAAAACGAGAAAGCTATATTCCTGCCGTCCGAATTTTTGCAATAGATCCGGACGATGTCGAAGCCGTTGGATCGTGATCGCCTGGCTATTATTTTAGGTAGCGATTTGCGCGGCGGGACAGCTGGGCGTTGACCACGTTTTACTGGAAGGTTGCCGTTTCACGTTTTGTGGGAGGTCGCCGGTCGCCGCGATTTTAGCAGGGGCTTTTAATGGGAGGTTGCCGTGATTTTTGGGCGTTACTCATTTTCTCTCTCATTGTTGCACTTTTTTAAGCCAAAAAATTACATTGTGAACAGGATTCAAACTCTGGACCAGTTCATGATACAAAGAGGCACTAGCCACTACGCTAGCAGAACCTTTGACGCATTTTTGAACTAGTTTTCTAATTTGTACGCTACATAGACAACAAATTTCCTTTGCCATTCAGAGTTGATCCTGGTTGCTAATAAACAGAGCGAAGGATCCACCTTATCGAGACTTTGTACCTACACAAATGTTGATCCAAACAAATTGTTGAAATATACCCGCGCTAATTTTGATGTAAATCACATGGTAATTTACTTGACGTAGTCACAAATTACATGCAAGCACTGAGGTTACTTTCACTCGGGAGAAATTTTTATTGAACATTCGTTTTTTTATATTTTCGTAAGCAGGTGATGATGAGGATTCGTAAGAAATAATCTTAGATCAAGAAAAACAATGTTCAATCAATTCTGAAAACATGCTTCAGCGTGTACTTGATTTGGGAGGAGTTGAGTAGATTAGGAATGTCCAACGCCCATCCTCTTCTGCATCAATTTTGAAGAGTGGCAAGATCCACCATCTCACAACATAGTTACTATGCGCTATAGTTACCAACATGTTTATTTTGTAGTTATCGGGTTAGATATACTATAGTTATCAACATGGTTATTTTGTAGTTACCGGGCAAGATCTACTATAGTTATCAGACAATATCTACTATAGTTATCAACATGCTTACTATGCAGTTATCGGGCTAGATGTACTATAGTTATCAACATGGTTAATTTTTGTAGGTATCAGGCTACATATGGTATAATACACCCCCGGTAGCTTATGCGTAAATAGCATGATATTTTACACACCACAGACATGATAACTCATGCGTAAACATCGTGATAACTTTGATAGGGAGAAAAAGTTGAAGACATCACCCGATAGCTTCTACGTAATTAGGATGATAATTTACACAACATAAACCTGATAACTCATGCGCAAATACCGTGATAACTTTGACCCGGGGGAGGAGGTGTTTAAAAACATCACCGACAACTTCCGTCAAATAGCATGGTATAGTATGCACCGTATACGTGATAACTTACGCATAAATACCACAGTAACTTACGGTCCGGGGTGTTGGGAGGGGATGAAGTTGTTTGAAAACATAACCCCTCCTGATAACTTCCATATAAATACCATGATAATATACGCACCGTAAACTTGATAAATCATGTGCAAACACCCGTGATAACTTTGATGGCGGGGGAGGCAATTGTTTGAAAACATAACCTTGATAACTTATGCGTAAATAACATGGTAATATACGGACCGCGGGCATGGTAACTCACGCACAAACACCACGTTGTCCAAAAAATAGCTGTTGAAAATGTACCACGGTTACTCATGTGTAAATAGCATGATAATAGACACACATCAGATCTGATAACTTACTTAGCCCGGGCCTGATAACTATTTGCATAAAAAAAGTCTGTCAAAACATATCAACATGAGATCTAGTTTTGAAGGTCTCGTCGTGATAGATACTTTATGTGAAATCGACTTTTTGATTGGACCGACGATTTGAGTTATAAAACATTTTGAAGTTTTGAACAAGGAGAACTAGAATGACATGAAAATTTTCTTCTAATGCATGCACGCATGTGCTTGTGAATAGAAGGTTGGAGAAACTTTTTCATGCCCCGGTAATTTCTGTGTAAACAACATGATAACTTAGGCACCACAGATATGATAAATTGTGTAGAACACGCGGTAACTTCTGACCCAAAAAAAAGTCGTCGAAACATATCAACATGGGATCTAGTTTCGAAGATCTCGTCGCTACGAATCTTTTACGTGAAAACAGTTTTTTAATCAGAGCGATGATTTGTGCTACAAAACATTTTGAATTTTCGCATTGGGAAGAATCTTTGATGACATCATCATTTTTGTTTTTTCTACATGTATATGACTAGCAACTCTAATTAACTGCTAGTGGACTGAACACACACAGAAAAAAATAAGATGAAGATGCATGCATGCAAGCTAGAACGACGCAGCGGGACGAACGGGAGGATTGATCGAAGGTCGTCCGGATCTGTTGCTAACCACCAGTCGACTGGTGGTTAGCACAGTCCAATAAAAAATCTGTTTTTTTTGCAAGCAAGATGTCCATTTGCGTGACATTCGTGCAAAATTTGGTGAAATTTGGACATTCGAGGAGCGTGTGGCAAAAAAGACAAATTTGGGCGTGAACAATGTTATTTTCAAATGTTTCTCACAGACCTGTTTTTTTTTTGCCACGACCTACTCGAATGTCCAATTTTTTTTGCCACGACCTACTCCTATTGACATTTTTTTTTGCCACGACCTAACCCAAAAGCATCTAACAGAATCAGCACGCCTCCGGCCACCGGCGGCCGTTTCAAACTTTTGTAGACGTGGTTTGGTCTGGGCGCCAAGGTATCGTTCCAAGCACTAATCATACCCCTGGTGATAGCAGCATACATTCATCCTAGACTCCTAGTGACTGGTGCAGGTCAACAGTTCACATCATGGAGGATGTCTTACATCGTCTTCAAGAATCTGCTCACTAGGCCCTGTCTCCCAAGATTGGCTGACTCTGGATATCCTGAAAACAATATTGGCCACAAGGAAACAAACAGCGCAAGCAAGTCTCCTCTCCTGAGAGTGAGAGTACCCCCTGATCGGCTGATCCTATCATATATTCGCAATCATGAGAAGTATGCCCATCGACGCACCGCGTCCTGTCCTGCCGGAAACGATTAACTCCCATCCACTTTGCCCTTGATTTGCTCATACATGCGAAGTGTGTGCCCTACCTGCTGATTCCTACACACACACACGGGGTCTATTGGCCACGATAGAAAGGAAGGGAAGAAAGAAGAAAAATATGCCCATTTCCATTACTCAAGGCAAGAAAACAAAAGGAAAGGAAATAGAGCACCAACTATTTCTCAGGCGACAAAAAGATTATCAAAAGCTGCATTTCTCATGCTGTAATTCCACTCCCATTATGGGAAAAGTTAGAGATAAATCCACAAAAACATGACCTTGATTGCCGATCTAATCCATCTGGTCATTGCGAAAATTGAAGAACCCCACGAAAAACATGGCTCTGACCGGGGTTACGCTCTCCCTGCATAGTCCAGAACTGCAGATGAACTTTCTCCTATTTGGAAGAATCAAAAGGCTTCACCGCCAGCTCACCTAAGCCTAAAAAGGAACAGGGTGCAAAACTCACACCTAGGGGAGGTGGTGGTCATCTCGTTCTCTCCGATTCTGACTGTGCTCACTATTACCAGCATCCTTGGTGCTAGCCATGGCGGCCATGGACACCTTCTTCTCTTCCTCTTCTCCCTTGCTGCTACGGTCTCTGCTTGACATGGGCGTGGCCAGGTACGTCGGCTTCACGTCGCCGGCCATGACCACCAGTACTTTCTCCTCCCACGCTGCTGGTGGCAGGTCCGACGCCACCGGCTTGGCGCCGTCGGTGGCGGAACCTTCCTCGTCACCGCGGCCGGCGCTGCCCTCCAGGTACCCGGACAGCTTCCAGTACGAGCAGGCGAGGATGAGAAGGGCGAAGGCGATGAGTCCGAGCATCGGGGCCAGGCCACCGAAGAGGTACGGCACCGGCGAGTGCCACGCGGAGTGCGCGGCGCCGGCGGCCAGAGGAGCTACCGCAGCGTTCGTTGCTGCCGCCGTCGCATTGAAACCTGCTCCTGGTCTCATTGTTTCTGCACTTCTTGTCGATATGTTACTCCTCAGCACTGGGAGCAAGTATGTGTGAGTTG